TAACTAGTAACTCTGGCATACAGTAAGGTCCAGATGCCAACTACCAACCAGCCTTCACTTTTCAACCCAGAGAGTTGCTTTAGTTTGTGAGGTAATTTTATGAACAGTCTGGCTTCCTGTTGTTGTGTGTAAATGGCTGGACATGGATCACTTTGTGAAGAAACCTTCCTTATGTTGAAAATACCTGTGAACAGAGAAGCATAACTGCTTCCTTCAGTAGCTTCAGCCTATTGTACAACATATAATATATATATTAAGTAATATTTATAATAATAAATATTATATACACCAGAGAAGTGCATCACTGGTAAAGATCTGAGACATTTTTGTGTGAGGCAGATGTTATTATACAAATGAACAGCAGAGGGCAGTCTTTCATAACATTACAAAGCCTGAGGCACCTGACCATGCATATTGTCATAGCAGCACTTGAAATGATGCTTGTTGTATTTATAAAAATGAATATGACAGATCATGTGATGTCAGATGGCCTTGCACTACACTTCCCACTATTCAGATGTTGATGTAAAAGAACTAGTTACAACAAAGATAATCAGTTTCTCTCAGATGACTGTCCCATAAAATTGTGGGACTTGCAGAAAATTGTGATACTTAAGTTTTGCATGGGAATGCAAGTACTTTGGAAGATGACTGACCACTGATGTCAATGTAGGCTGTGCTACTAACGTCCAAGCAGATGATTATTGTCAAATCTGCTCTTTACATTTTTTGTCTTAAGCAGCTTTGTTTGTCTTTTCTTCCTTCAGCCCTGCAATGCTGAGAATGAAATCAAAATAATCATCAATACCAGCAGACCTACATAAACTAAAAGTCAAATGAAAAACGTGAGGACAATGACAGTAATATTTGTAAAAGTACTTTTATTTTCTGAGCCCTTAAGCAGATACAGTTGCATCATTGTTGAAAATTATACATCTGAGTGGCAGTTCTCTTTCAAGTTCAGTAGCTCAACCTGTGGTTGCAGTGGATTTCTTCATTCTTTATAAAAACACACCTTCCGTTACATAATACAATATTTCAATATTTCCAGAAAACACTGAGCTGTAAGAACATTTGAATTGGGTGAAGTGAGGGTGGAGTTACATTTCATTTTTGGGATTTTAATGTGGCTCAAAATGAGCTGTAGTACCTGAATTTGATAGCATTGCTCAAGCAAACCTCCTTAAAACAAAGAAAATATCTGAAATGCAGGTCAAGCCTACAATGTTTAGCAAATCTATAACATTTATTGTATAGACTAAACCTTGAGAAAATAGAATGAAAAAAATGTCAATAAAAAACCCTGACCTGATTTGAGTAGTATCAAAGATATATGATGTAACATTACAAAAATACAATTTACATATGTACAAAGTTTTGGGTCCTGCCCACAGTGAGTTTTTCCCCGTTTGAGTAGCAAATAAGGCACTCACTTACAAAAAATAACTTATTTCAGAGACAGGGCGAGGAAAAGACTTAAATACAAACTCCTATAATTTAGCCAGTTATTCATATATCCACACATATGTACAAAAAACACCAGCATCTATTCTTTTTACTGTTGGAGAGGCACTTAAAAAAACACGGTTTGGGCCAGATGCACAAAATGTCCGACTGGTGCTTATTCTGGGATGCTGCAGGTGGATTTGGATACAAAAGTGTCCATTTGATTAATGTGGCCTACATGTGCCTCTTCATATGGAGAGCCAGGTGATCTGAGCGTGAAAACGCGCGCTCACACAGGTGACACTGAAAAGGTCGGTGTCCGGTGTGCTTTCTGAAGTGACGGGTCAGCTCATCTGACCTGGCGAATTTCCAGCCGCAGCCTTCCCAGTTACAGTGGTATGGCTTTTCACCTGTGTGACAGAGGCAAAGGATTGTGTTAAGACCACATTCATTGCACGGGCAACAATATGGAATCAAAATGGACGGAACAAATGACGATTTAATAAATTAGTGATAAATTAGTGTGTGTGCTCACCTGTGTGTGTTCTCATGTGGGCTTTGAGGTGGGAGCTCTTGGTGTAGGTCTTCCCACAGCCAGGGAACTCGCAGCTATGCGTCGCGGCGCGCTTTCTGGCCCACGACCTGCGGCCTCGCTTCTGTTTGATGTTCCCCGCCTCGTCGTGTGCGTAAAACTCCAGCAACGATGGCGACGAGGGAGGAGTGAGCATCATAGAAGCCGGGTGGTGCTGTTGGTGGACGCGGACAGGCTCTCTGTGCATGTTGTACTGTCCTTGAAACTGAGCCAAACTCTGGTGCGCGTACTGCGGCTGGTACGGCGCGTTCATGTACTGATTTTGGAGATGGTGTTGGTTAGGATGATGAGGATGAGAGTTCGTTTGCGCCAAATGGCAGTCTGTGCGTCCCTGAGGTGCAGGGTGCTGCATGGGATGCGCACCGAATCCTGGCAACCCGCCTTGAGTGGTACCCTGGTGATGCGTAAAAGCTGCTGGGTGCACAGAGTGCATCTGGTGTCGCTCATACATCTGTCCCATAAAGTTAGCGCCACCAGCAGCAGCCATCATACAAGACTGGCCTACAGGCTCGGTTTTAATTTTGTATCCAAGCGGTGGAGGAGACGTGGCCAATTGGTGATGAGCAGGGGCAGCTGGGATGGGGACCGGATTCAGCGCTCTGAGTTCAGTGTACTCCCGCCCGTCCCTTGCTTTGCCTGCACTCTCTGGTGAACTCTCCCCCGGGTAGTTCATCTCTGGCGTGAGAAGCTCCGCCACGAGACTGTGGACTGGGCTCGAGTCCGTGAAGCACACCGTGCCGTGGTAGCTCGGCGCGGCCAGCTGAGCAGGAGTTCGGTCGCTGCAGTCTGGCACAGAACTCCCGCTGCAGCTCTCCGGTGACTCTGGCAGGGAATACGCACACTGCTGAGGTGGAGAAATGTTGCCGTTGTTGCGCATAACATCGGTATCAATGCTGTTGGACAAAATGAACTCGAGGTCCAAGAATTTCCCCAGCTCGTCGTCGTCTTTGGAAAGTAAAGCAGGGGACTGCACGATGCTGAACTCCACTTCGATGAGCGGGTTGTCTGCGCCACCTGTTGCGCTGCTTCGTGCGCACTCATCCACCTTGCACATCTGAACAGGAGAGCAATTGTAAAATTAGAGGAAAACCAAACTTCTAATATGAACCAACCATCAGAATTACATCTTAAATTAAAAATAAAATTTTCCAAGCTAAAAACCCTCTACTTACATTATTGAACTGTTTTCCTTCCATCGCTTGAACACCTGGAAACGATGTTATGGGGGGCATCACTGCTTCAGCCACAGCCATGCTGACCGCTTAGAAGACACAAAAACAAGAATTTAAATCTGTAAACGCGAACAGAGACTTTCTTCTCTGTCCATAGAGCGCCTGTTTGATAACGTCTACAGCTGGGGAGCGTTACAGGATTCAGAGTGTGAGTATCAACAGAGCTGACGGAGCCTCTTATAGCTCCGGGAGGAGTGGCTTCGACTCCCCTACAACACACATACACACACACACACCTCCCCCACGGCAACCAGTCGTGCAAACAAACATATAATGGCATTCAGGTGCGTCAGGCAGGTAAGTTAGTTAAGTGCGTAAGACATGAACAAGACAATCATCCATGACATCATATGAATGAATAGTTAAATATGAACTTTACTGTGCATCCCTGTGCTGCTGGATATTAATGACACGTCTTTCAAAACGCACACTAAACTAGACTTTCTGCTTTTTCAACTGTGTGCGCTTTTATAAAATATACATTTCCCCCAACTTTATTATCAGCCTTGATTGGAACAGGAGGTGTGTTAATACGTGTGTGACGTGTAAAGGTATTAAATTCACCACCACTGCAGCAATTCATCCTCTCACGAAGACCCAAGCATTTCCCCTGAGGCAGGTACAGAGGGCGACACTAAACCTGCCAACAGTCAGGGAGTGCAAGAAAGCCGAAATTCCAATGCGTAAAAGATCATCCAAGTTACCTAAGTAGCTACTGATGTTTTTTAAAATATTAACGCTATAAGATGACAAAATGTGCCAGACTAACATCCTTTGCTGCCCTTTAACCCAAAACAGTGACCGAACCTCCAAAACATTTATTTCACAGTTCAAATTTCTCCCCTAGTTTCGTCCCAGCCTCCTCAAACACGCACGCACAGTCACTCACACATCATTAATTTGTCCCGAGTTGATCCCTGCGTGTTTAACACAAACACGGACGTGTGAAGCGTTGGCTCATCGAAACAACCTGTTAATCTGGATGTCAACAAAGGACTACATGTTTCTTAATGACCTTCCCCCAGTAGCCAAGTCTCCTGCAGTCATTGCTATGGTAATGTACAGGTGGATGGTCAGCAGAGGAGACCGGGACAGGAGAGGACTGGTTTTGCTTTATGTGAACAGTCTTTTTTTTTTAAGTGTATCGACATATCACCATTTTAGGCCCTAACCCTCAGGGCCGTAGCTGTGATGTCAGTGCGCCAGTCCTGCCCCCACCCCAGTGACCCCCAATTATTTGAATGGATTATCTAGATTTTTCGTGTTTTATTTACCTTGTACACTGTAAATTTATTCTTTCTCACTCTCTTCTTCTCACTGACATGACTAAATATCACAGGGGTGGTTGCAATAATTTGTTGGCTTAAAAGTGGTCATATTAAAACACATTCACATAACACAATTTCTAGGTTGCTAATACAACATCAAATGCACAAAAATATACATCCATTTGTCATGCCATCACTCCATCTAACCATTAAAATAAATGAAGTTGTTTTAATTGCAATCAACTGCAACAAGAACAACAACAAACAGAATCAATATAATGACCATAATTAGACATGTTTTATCAACTTGGTAGTTGGCATATAAGAGCTTAAGTCCTAAATCCTATACTGTATTTCATTAGATTGAAAAACTTTGGTTTGATATTCAAATCCTGCAAACAGCAACAGAGCCAAGCAAACTCAGGCAAATAATTTTCTGTCCCTCTCTCTGTGCTCTCGCAGGTATTGTGAAAGTCAACGTCCTGCAGCTCTCTGCCTTTATACTCCGTTATTTTTAACCAGCTGGGCTTACGCAAAACAAATTCCGGTTCTGTCTACGAGCCAAGTGGAAATGGACACTGTTTCCTGAGGAAAAACTAGACACTCGCTTCCTCTACTTGTGCTCTGCAGCCACCTTCAGCTGAGGATACAGACACGGAGCAGGAAAACGATCACATTTCTATAATATTATTTTAGAAAAATGTTGTAGGTGTATACTTTTGTTTATAATGAATCTATTGTACTACTGCACCTTTTACTGTGCAAAAAAAATAATTACAGGAAAAATAAAGGGTAAAACCATTTGAAAAATTCTATGATTAACCCCACAGAGAAAACTATCCTTTATCTTGTCCCATCAAAGGTACTATCAAACTCAGGTCATGTAAAAACCAACTAGCCAAGAATAGAGACAGATCCAGATAAAGAATCGCCCTGGGCTCAGGTTTCTTCTTTTGTGACTCGCTTTTCTGAAAGGGAGGAAGTCTTTCAGCTCAAGTGTTTTCTAAACACAATTACTTTAGATTACAGTTAAGCAGACAGACAGAGAGAGCCAAGGTATCTCATCCTGGAAACACTCAAATGTTTTCCAAGTAAAGAAGAAAAAGAAGTGGTTTATCTTGTTCAGCTGTTTCTGTTTGTAAGATTAAAAGCTGTTTTTTATTTCGTTATGAGAATATTCTATTTTGTATTCACTTTGTCATTTGTTGGAGCTATGACTTGCAGTGGGCTAGTGTTTTTGGTCTACTCCAACCCCTTTGCTTCATCTTTTTTTCCCTCATCTGTTCTCTGCTTCCCTTTCTTTGTTAAAACATAATCAAGTAGAAACCTCCATCTTTATGGTTTACTGCAGTGAGTCCTACAGTGGAAAAAGAAACAAGGAAAGACTTACTACCTCAACTAATTTAAAGAGAAAAATACAATATTGATTGAGCTGTAACTCCTGAATAACTGTATTGCTGTAGAGTAGCCTATTTGACTAAGCAAGTAAAGGTCTCAACAGTTAGCTAACAGTAGGCTAACACATAAATGGTTAGGGTGGATCCATGTCTAAAAGGAATATCAGTTAAAACAGCTAACTCAAAATAATATGTAAAGAGTTTAGATTGTTAGCTAAAAGTACATGGTGAAATAGCTGTTGAAAATGATTTCATAAATGTTTAAAAAATAGTAAGCAAAAAGTAATAAACGGTTGAAATAGCCAAATCAATCCAATATAACAAATATTGAAATACTTAGGGAAAAAAAACTATTGCACAAGTTGTCAGCTAAATTAATGATGAAATGTTTAAAATTGATAGCTTACAGTATTACAGAGCTGACACAGTGAGCAAAAAGTTCACTGAGCTAAAACACAGCTGAAATAATGATAGGAAAATGGGAAAATAGCTAAGCTCAGTAGATAAGCTAGCTTAAAGTAAGAGATAAATGGTTGACATAGTCAGCAAAAAGTAGCCTATTAAAAGGTTGAAGGATTCATTTAAAAGTAGCATAATGGATGTACAGTTAAGATAGCCAAATGAGTCGGATAAATGGTTGAAATATGCAGTAAAAAGCATTAAACAGTTGAAATTGTTGGTTAAAAGTAATAGAGAAACAGTTGAAATAGGCAAATGCATTAGTTAGATGGTTGAAATAGTCAACAAAAATTATTAAAAAGTTGAAATACTCAGCTAAAACAGTGGAAATAGCCAATAAAATTAGTTAAATGTTTGAAATAGTAAGTTAAAAGTAATGGATAAACAGTGGAAATAGCCAGTTAAATTAGTTAAATAGTTGAAAAAGTCAGTAAAAAAATATGAAATAGTTAAAATACTTATGCACCGAACAACAGTTCAGAGTACTCACCCTTTTTGGAGTCCCTGGGACGGGTGCTGGACAGTGCCCCGACCGGGGACTCCATTGTTCTACTGGGGGACTTCAACGCTCACGTGGGCAATGACAGCGGGACCTGGAGGGGCATGATTGGGAGGAACGGCCTGCCCGATCTGAACCCGAGTAGTGTTCAGTTATTGGACTTCTGTGCGGGTCGCAGTTTGGCCATAACTAACACCATGTTCAAACATAAGGATGTCCATCGGTGCACGTGGCACCAGGACAGCCTAGGTCGCAGGTCAATGATCGACTTTGTAGTCGTATCATTTGACCTGCGGCCATATGTTCTGGACACTCGGGTGAAGAGAGGAGCAAAGCTGTCAACTGATCACCACCTGGTGGTGAGTTGGATCAGATGGTGGGGGAAGACGCCGCGCAGACCTGGCAGGCCCAAACGATCAGTGAGGGTCTGCTGGGAACGCCTGGCGGAAGAACCTGTCCAGATGATCTTCAACTCCCACCTCCGGGAGAGCTTCGACCGCGTCCCGAGGGCAGAGGGGGACATTGAATCAGAATGGGCCTTGTTCCGCTCTGCCATTGTCGAGGCGGCAGTTGCGAGCTGTGGCCGCAAGGCCGCTGGGGCCAGTCGCAGCAGGCTGAAGAAGGAGGCCTACAGGGCATGGTTGGTCTGTGGGTCTCCGGAAGCAGCTGACGGGTACCGGCGGGCCAAGCGGAGCGCAGCGGCGGCAGTCGTTGAGGCAAAAACTCGGGCATGGGAGGAGTTCGGTGAGGCCATGGAGGAAGATTATCGATCGGCTCCAAAGAGGTTCTGGCAAACCGTCCGGCGCCTCAGGGGGGGAAGGTGGCAACTTGCTCACACTGTTTACAGTGGGGGCGGGGAGCTGCTGACGTCAACTGGGGATATTGTCGGGCGGTGGAAGGAATACTTTGAGGAGCTTCTCAATCCCACCAACACGTATTCCAGTGAGGAAACAGAGACGGGGGTCTCGGGGGCAGGTTGTCCAATTTCTGGGGCAGAAGTTGCTGAGGTAGTGAAACAACTCCGAGGCGGCGGAGCCCCGGGGGTGGATGAGATTCGTCCTGGATATCTCAAGGCTCTGGATGTTGTAGGGCTGTCCTGGCTGACACGCCTCTGCAACATTGCGTGGACATCGGGGGCAGTGCCTCTGGAGTGGCAGACCGGGGTGGTGGTCCCCATTTTCAAGAAAGGGGACCAGAGGGTGTGTTCCAACTACAGGGGGATCACACTCCTCAGCCTACCCGGTAAGGTCTACTCCAGGGTGCTGGAGAAGAGGGTCCGGTCGATAGTTGAACCTCAGATTGAGGAGGAGCAATGTGGTTTTCGTCCCGGATGCGGAACCGTGGACCAGCTCTTTACCCTCTCCAGGGTGCTGGAGGGGGCATGGGAGTTTGCCCAACCAGTCCTCATGTGTTTTGTGGATTTGGAGAAGGCTTACGACCGTGTCCCCAGGGGCATCCTGTGGGGGGTGCTCCAGGAGTATGGGGTTGGTGGCCCCTTGCTAAGGGCCATCCAGTCCCTGTACCGAAGGAGCATGAGTCTGGTTCGCGTGGCTGGCAGTAAGTCAGACCTGTTCTCGGTGAGGGTTGGACTCCGCCAGGGCTGCCCTTTGTCACCGGTTCTGTTCATAACTTTTATGGACAGAATTTCTAGACACAGCCGAGTGGTGGAGGGTGTCAGGTTCGGTGACGGGAGGATCTCGTCCCTGCTTTTTGCGGATGACGTGGTCCTCCTAGCTCCATCGAACAGTGACCTCCAGTTCGCAGCCAAGTGTGAAGCGGCTGGGATGAGAATCAGCACCTCCAAGTCTGAGGCCATGGTCCTCAGCCGGAAAAGGGTGGATTGCCCACTCCAAGTCAGGGGGGAGGTCCTTCCTCAGGTGGAGGAGTTTAAGTATCTCGGGATCTTGTTCACGAGTGAGGGTAGGATGGAGCGGGAGATTGACAGGCGGATTGGGGCAGCGTCAGCAGTGATGCAGGCGCTTAACTGGTCCGTTGTGGTGAAGAGGGAACTTAGCCAGAAAGCGAAGCTCTCAATTTACCGGTCGATCTACGTTCCAACCCTCACCTATGGTCACGAGCTCTGGGTAGCGACCGAAAGAATGAGATTGCGAGTACAAGCAGCCGAAATGAGTTTCCTCCGCAGGGTGGCTGGGCTCAGCCTTAGGGATAGGGTGAGGAGCTCAGACATCCGGGTGGGACTCGGAGTAGAGCCGCTACTCCTCCACATCGAGAGGAGCCAGTTGAGGTGGTTCGGGCATCTGGTAAGGATGCCTTCCGGACGCCTCCCTTGGGAGGTGTTTCGGGCATGTCCAACCGGGAGGAGACCTCGGGGCCGCCCCAGAACACGCTGGAGGGACTACATCACTCGGCTGGCCTGGGAACGCCTTGGGGTTCCCGCGGAAGAGCTGACGGAAGTGGCTGGGGAGAGGACTGTCTGGGCTTCTTTGCTGAGGCTGTTGCCCCTGCGACCCGGACCCTGATAAGTGGAGGACGACGAATACGAGTTCGAGTAAAATACTTAGTTAAAAGTAGTGATAAATAGTTGAAATAGCCAGATAAATGATTTAAAGGGTTGAAATAGTCAGTAAAAAGTATTAAATTAACAAAGTAATGGATACTTGGTTGAAATGTCCAGCTTTTGCCACACCAAATGGTGCAGATGCAAACTAGACCACATCTACCTAAACAGTAGTTCAGCTGTATGAAAACATTATGCTTTACATAATTTAAGTTTATAATAGCTTCCAGTATATCAATTGAAATGGACTGAATGGAATGCAGTGGGCGGTGTCAATGAAGGGGTGCTTGGGTTCATCTGACAGGTGTGTGACTGTATATGTTGGGACTACTGACTTACTGCTTCGGCCTCTCAAAGATGCAGGCATTTTCACAGGGATCAACTTTGCATACTGTAAACTACGCTTGTTTCGTCCATGCAAATATGCGCTGGCATGTTCAGGCAATCACACTGTACAATCACAATCATTCCCTTATTTAGATACATGGCTATATATACACTCTGTTATTGTGTTCCTGTCCAAACACACACGTAGCAGAATATAGGAACATATATATATATATATATATCTATATGTATATATACACAGACACACAGACAAACACACACACACACACACACACACGCCAGCAATTATCCTCTATCCCCCACAGAGTGAGGGGAAATCCAGCTGTTATCTTGGATAAATATGCTGCCTTGCATGGCATGAAAAACCAACAAAGTTATTAGAGAGAAAAAAAAACAGAAAGTAAAACTACAGCACAGGGACAGGCTAGTTACCTTCAGGAAAGATTTCAAAAGGAGGTGGGGAGGAGAGGAAATAAGAGCAAATGCGAACCGATGAGAAGAATCATGGGAAAAATAGCAATAACATCGGCCTGAGGCCCTGTAATCAGTAGT